ATGGAACAAAGAAATCAGGGACACTATAAAAAAGCACATAACAAAACGACAGCAACCAATTTATACTTGTCAATAATTACATATCTGACAAGGGACTTATCTCTAATATTTATAGAAAACTCCAACACCTCAACAACAAAAAGAATAACAATCCAATTTAAAAAATGGGCACTTCACCAAAGAGGGTATTCAAGTGTGCAGCAAATACATGAAGAAATGCTCACCATCATTAACCATCAGAGAGATACAAATCAAAACAACAACGAGATAACATCTCACCCCAGCACTAATAGGAAAGTTGAACAAGACAGAAAATAACAAATGCTGGTAAGGATGTGGAGCGATTGGGACTCTCATACACTGCTGGTGTGTCAGTGTAGTATTCATTCTCATTGTTATCTAGTACTCCATTTTGCCTTCTATCAACAAAATTCCCTAACTCATCAAACTGGCATAACCAATAATAAAACGTCTTCTCCCACATATCCAAAATTCCAGATGTAGGACAGACTCCAGATATGACAAAACTGGAGTATGGATGATGTTATCAAAAAGCAAGCTTTCTTCTACACTGCACTGCCACCTTCAGTTTCAATTCTATCTTAAGTTTTCTACTTAAGATCACATGATAGCTGACAGAGACTATACACTTCTCTTTTTGTGTCCAGCAGCATAGATGGAGAACCTCTCTCAACCAAGGAATATAAATATTTTCCTACTGTTGGCTTGTGACAAGTTAAAATATAAACCCACCCAGAGACTAATGGCAAACACAAGGGCAATGCTTCGTGTACACATTGAACTCCATTCTAGAAAAAGAGAATAATTCTTATATTCAAGTGTCCACAGAATATTTACTAAATTGACAAGAAGTCCCATTGAAAAACTAAGTATCTTCTAAGATTAGCAACAGTATAGAAAAACAGAACCAAAACTAAGGTCATTCATAGCAACCTATCTTGTTACCAAGGAGCTCTGGTGGTGCAGGGGTTAAAGTATTTGGCTGCTAACCAAAAGCTTGGTGGTTCAAACCCACTAGCCACTCCACTGATAGTCTGCTTCCAAAAAGATTTATAGCCTTGCAAACCATATGGCAGTTATACTTTGTCGTATAGGGTCACTATAGGAATCAACTTGATGGGAGTGGGTTTGGATCTTTTCACCAGCACAAAAAAAATTAAGTAAAATAAAATCTGACTTTAAAATATAAGTATCAACATGGTAAAACTAACTAGTATTTCAACAAACTTCATTTTTTTGGTGGGGAAAAAAAGTTTAATACATTGGTCAGCATAATTCTATTATGTGGTCCTACATTATCTCCTTTCCCTTATAAACCAGTTTCCTTTCAACTATTTGTGTTATGATTCTGTAAAAGCATCCGCCTTTATTTTTCCGTAACTGTTATTTTACGTTACAGCATGATGCTTATCAGTTATCAACACAGAAACTCAGCAAAATTAAGACATACCTTAATATTAACTCATTTTATAGTTCATTTTGCTTTTCAGAATTTTTAATGTCTTTTAGGAATTATGACCTGAAGTAGGACTTTGTGATGTTTGTGTGTGTGTGCCTCCTTACTTTCCATTTGTTTCACCAGCCAATGTAAAAATTTAGCATTCACTCTTACTTATACTGTAAGTATTTATATAAAAAACTGCTTACGAACTATGTAAATGAAATGTTTTGCTTGCTTCTTGAATATACATAATATTGTCACAATTGGCAATATTTTTTTGGATATTATGTTGCATTAGTCCTTTAAACCTAGAGGTTTATCCCCTCTATTTGGTTATAAAGAATACAAAATCTCAAGACATCCAAAAGGTACATATCTCTGCTAATAGTTATATAGGAACAAAATATAGAAAACATGGGAAAATATAAGTAAAATGTGAATTTACAACTTTCATGCTTTGTATTGTAATTCTCACTGATCGAGCACCTACTCTGAAGCAGTATTTCACATACATCATCTCAATTAATTCTTATAATATCTTGATGTAGATGTTATGTTCATTTTATTGATGAGAAAACTAAGGCTTAGAGAAATTACCTTATTTAAACTCACAATTACAGGTAAACACAATTACAGGTAAGTAGCAGTAAAACCAAAAACCATACTCACTGCCATTGAATTGACTGCCGCTCACAGCAACCCCTTTGGGTTTCCAAGGCAGTATCTCTACGGAAGTAGATTGCCCAATCTTCCTTCCAAGGAGT